ATAAAAATTGAGCCAAGATGTTTTCATGCTACATTTGTTCAGTTTTTCCAGTGTTCTCAGAGAATTGCCCAAAGACTTTATTTCACATTCTTCTTCTTTGATACTTACAATAAGTAAGTATCAAAAATCACTGAAGCTTTCTGGATCAAACTCTTTGATGGTTGTCCTTGTCAGAGAGAGGTTCCTCTGTTCTCCATTTCTGCCATTGGTGTAGGAACCGCTGAGACTCTACAGCAGGCCCACTCTAGACTGGGTCCACTTTTCCTCCATGCCCAATCACACCCTCCATGCACAAACGAGGGCAACCCAGTGGGGATGGGAGTCCTGAAGAGAGATGTTCACTGCCATTGAAGACAGCTCACATATCTGAGGCTTCTGTGTGGGGCTGACACAGGATTTCAGGCAAGCCTGCAGCGCTGAGGAGCAGCTGAGACTTTGAATGTGCAGAGAGATAAACCCCCTTCCACAGATCTTCCAGCATGATAGAGACGTGAAAGGATAGTTTATAAATATACTGTATACTCGAGGTACTTGGTGAAATTATTTCCTGCTGAAGAACACTGTGTTGGTACTAGAAGGATCCCCAGAACACAGCATGCCTGTGGCCATCCAAAGGCAGGACATGAGGGATTGCTGGGTCTGGGCAGCTGAACTAGCAAGGCAAGGCTGGTGGGACTCCACAAGGGTTATCTGGTCACTGAGGACTGAATTCCTACCCTAGGAGCAGACATCTACCTGAGGCACTTCCATTAGGGAGAGAATCCCTCCCTAGTCCTGGGAGGAGATGGACAGGCTCAGGGAATGACCCAGAAATGAACCAGCTGAGCCAAGGAGAAGCAACCTCCTGAGGGAGCTTCTGGTAATGACTGCATTCACAGAGTTATGTGAGGTATACCAGAGTGGGTGAGATGAATCCAAAACTTGGCGCAGAGTTCTCCTGTGCAGCTTACACACTGACAGTAGCACTCTGCAGAAATAGCTTCTGGAACTTACAGCCCTCTACATCCTTCCAACTCTTTTTTCTCCTCCCTCACTGTCTCCATTTGTACTAGAAGGAAGAAGCAACTTTTCAGTCTGTAGGAATTAAATTTTCATCACTCATCTTGCTCTCTAATGAGAGGGCTACTAAAAGGGATCAAAACTGTCTAGGAATGCTTTGGTCATTAATGGTATTAATGACATTGATATAGTTTTCTTATTATCAGCTTTCTCAAGTACATACTTCTGCTACTCTGTCAACCTCTCTCTCACTTTTTTGGATACTCTTCCCCATTTGTCTCAAGAGATCAATCACCTAGAATATTCTATATAAAGAAAATTCCATAATCACAAAGACCTTCTTTGATGTCTATCACCTCTTTGAGGTGACTTTACCTAGAAGTAGCACAGTATATAATGTCAGTTTCTGGTTTTGGTTTAAAGAAGTCAGTGTGAAAATTACTGTGCTCACCTTTTTAAAACCTGCAAAGTTGTCTGGGTAAACTCCTAGGATTGCCCTTCCCTTCAGGACTTAATCTTCTGCCTTGGATGCATTCCATAGCCCCACCCTAAGACATATATAACACAAGACATATAACAGGTAACACAATATGTTTATTGTTATTATTATTAATAGCCTTAACACAAAAGTTATTGCTACTTCACAGTTTATATATTTTAAAACTAATGAATAATGTAGTAGCGAGAAAAGAGCATCTCACAGAGCCTCAATAGGATGAAACTAAGTTGGCTTGTGCAAAGCTGGGCTTAATTACTCAGGGCTGGAAATGGCTCCTCTCTGGTGCCTTATGTGCCCTCAGTGTCCTGGCCAGGCTGAGCTCCGGTAGCAGTGCAGAACCCCTGGCCAAACCCTGGGAGAGCAGGTCTGTGCAGGGGAGACTTCTGAGCTGTAAAACTGCAACTTCAGCCTGTGCTGCCACCAGCATTGCTTAACTCAGTGCCTCTGGCACCTCCTTCCTGGCTGTGCTGCAAACCCTCAGACCTGGCAGCACAAACCTAGCCTCAAAAACATCTTATTGCTGACAAAGTGTGACCTACTTCTGGCTTTTATATAACAGCTGTGGGTCTCCAGCATGGCAATGCTGATTCCCTGGCAGCATTCAGTGTTCCAGTTCCAGTCAACTTGCACATGGGTCACCCTTGCTTTGTCAGTGAAGTCATTAAGGAAATTTTGAGATTTCATGTGCAAGTGGTTTGGTCTAGCTCAACTGTTGCTGCAATCAAGAATTTTAGATGTAACAGGTTATGTTTTGTGACTCTAATTTGCGTGCCTGCCCTTGGATTTCAAGGAAAGTTCCTATTCATACAGGACAAGTACTTGAAATTACGTTTGTGGTTAAAATTCCCCTGCCGGCACCTAAGAGGCCTTTAATTCCAGCAATAATTTATGACTTATACCAAAATCATGGTTACAAGAAATGTTCTCTTGTTCACTGAGGACAGACAGCTCCAGCTTTCTTGCTTCCAATGTTTCCAACATCATCTGAGCTACATCATCCATTTACCAGGATTTTCATTGCTTTTCCCAAACTGATTGTACTGTTTCATTTCAAAGTTTAAGACATTAACAAAGCAAAAATACAGACCGAAATTCCTTGATTAACACATATCGCTAGTCCCCTTGTCTACGTGAAATCCATGGCATGTTGTCATCCGTTTCTGCTCCAGGCTACATTTTTCTTCATAGCTAAGTAAATATCACTCATTTTTCAGATATTGTGAGTTTAAGGTACTTAATACTCAAAGGTGGAGGGAGTGTTTTAATTTTGCTGTTTCCTGGATGTCATAACTAAAAACTTATTACTGACCTTATGCAAGAGAAATACTTTAATCTAATGTGAGTCAGTATAAACACCAACAGTGATCTGCTTTCCTGTTGCTGAAACGTTTCTTTTGGTTCCTCCCTAACCACTTTCACGTCTCAGACAGCAACCAGAGCCTAAAGGCCTGATTTCTGAAGGTAGCCTTCACATACAAGAAAGCATCTATATACGATATCAAAGTATGTAGGCATTTTTAAAAACAAAGGGAATTAACCCCATTAGTTATGCTATACTCGCAAGCACCCTGCCTAAGCCTGGAGGCATCTGAAGTCCTTGGACTGAAGTTTGTTCAGGATAAGCTATGTACAGGGAAAGAGCTGTTGAGAAAGACACTGGGAGATGTTGGGGCAGCACCAGTTTTCCTGTGTCTCTGCCCTGCCTGGACTGCTGCCCGGTGAGCTCAGTCATTTTTCAGTCCATGACTCCTCCATGGTGATCTGCTGCCCTTGGGGCAATGCTGAGCTCTTGTGTCCCTACTTGACACAACAGTAGGGACTGTTGTTAAAAGTTGTTAAAAGCAACTTTTAAGACATGCTCTGATTTGTAACATAGGTCGGTTTTAAACCCGGCTTTAGAGGTACTTAGAGCATATCTAGCATGGCACAAAACATGCATGAGGAGAGCATGCCAGAGATGAGATATTCAAAGATCATAAAATTGTAGAATTTTGGGGGTAGAAAGGACTTTAAGGATAATCTTGTTCCAGCCCATCCGTGAAAGACTGGGACACCTTCCACTAGACCAGGTTGCTCAAAGGCCCCTCCAACCCAGCATCATCTCTGCTGCCTTTGTTTGATCTTGTCTGTGAGCACTGTGGGCCTGTGGGTGCACTGGGACACACATGGCTTCCTCTGGCCCACATGGATGAGGGGATAGGTGGTAGTATGTCTTTGATCAGATGTCTGAGGCAGCTGCCCTGTGCAGAAGACTAGGAGCAAATTTTACCTCTGCCTAATGAGGTTTGAGCTGTGGCAATTGGAATACTGTCCTTGTCAGCCATTCCCAGCCTCTCTTTTTGCCTTTGCCAATTCTGTTAGAGAAAGATTAACAGCCAGTTGACTTCCTTGCACAATCACATCGTCACATCAGTGTTGTAAGAGGTGGGATCAAATCCCTCCAAAGAGAGGATGTACCCCAGCCAAGGTCTCTTAAAGCCCAAGGGGTGTTTAAAACCACTGAGCTATTGCCCTGTGAGCAGGACCCAAACAAGGAGGAAGCAGGTGTGTCTCACCACTCATCCTCTGGAGGATTCATAAAAATTACATCAAATGGTAGTTACATAAAAATCCTTAGGTTTTTTTCTTATTATTTTGGCTTGTGTGCTCTAGCAGGAAAATGGTTCTTGTTTCTGGTTTGTTATCAAGTTTGTGAGTTGTACTGCCAGCCCTGACTCCATTTCCATGGCACATGGTTACAGCTCAGGAGGGCTAATCCACTGACTCCCTGTGACCCTGTGATCATATCTCCATCACTTCCCACCCTGCCTGCATGCTACTTCCATCCCCAAACTGGACACTTATACTTCTCTCTGGTTGCTCATGCCCTGCTGTACCAATGACTCTGTCCATTAAAACCACCCTCAGTGGCACTGGTCCTCTCACCCACTGCCATGTTCCCACCTACCTGTCCCCACCGCTGCCTCTGTCCCTGTGCCAGGAGTCATGGCATGCCATAGACTCCAGTCTCTCCCTTCACACACTCTTGTGTAGGATCTCCTCTTACCTTTTATGCCTCCCCAAAATTGTTCCTGAGCACTTTGTTTCCCTCCTTTGTCACCTGGGCAATTTCTAATTGCCCGCCAGAACTGCCCCTCCACTTCTCTTTAACTTTCCCCTCGCAGGCTCTGAAAATGCTGATGGAACCTGGCACCACTCAGCTTGTGTGTGGCTGCAGCAGATGCCTTGTCTCCAGTGGACTGAATCAGAGCACAAGAACTGCTGAACTCAAGCAAAATACTTTATTTCTCAAAAACAACTTGATGAATAAATAGATGGAGAACCAAAATAAATTAAAACTGTACATTAGGTTTTACATTTCAAAGGTTTTAAATTAGAATTGCCAAAGGCCATCATTTCAGACTCAGGTGCACAGGAACAGGTGAATAACACTGTTTAAAATCAAGAAACATGAAAAGCTCTTTCTGGTACAAATATATTCCTGTACCAACACTTAATATTTCTAGCAATTAAACCAGCTGTTGCTTTTCATTATACGGATGAGTTTCTTCCTCTTGATGTCAACCTCATACTGGTTTGATCCATGGAAAAAGTAGAAATATCCTAGAATTGGAAGGAAAAAACATGGAAAAATTAATAGTTCAATCTTATATACCTATTGTTACATGTTCACTATTTCCTTGGGTGACTTAAAAAAATCAAACCAAAAATTTAATATATATATTGAAATGTATTTTTTTTTTGCCTTTAGCAGGTGGTCTTTGGGGTTTTTAAAATTACATTTTAATTTATTTACCATTTTTCTGAAGGGCAGCATCAATTGGATGGCCGATCCCTTGGAAGTCAGCAGCTATTTTTCTTGGATAGCCTCTTTCCATTGATTGATTATTTTCATTGAAACTAAATAAAGAAATTGCATAGAAACAGAAAATAAGCATGTGACATTCAAAGTTGAAACCAGATGGATTTTTACAAAATATGCCTACTCTCAGATGAAAATCCAGCACCTGCAATCTGTGACCTCATAGAGCTGTATAAATCCTGGCTGTGTGAATATTTACATCTTTAATACCCTAGGTAAGTCTTTTTTCAGAATATCAGATTAGTACATTTACTTTCATTCCCTGAGACTGACAATAAGAATGAATGGGGCTTATACTGAGTAGTAATCTTAAATAATTAATCAAACAGAATTATTTTAATTTTACAGCACACAATCTGTGAAGTCACCCCATAAGAGAAATGTAAACTTCAGCTGTAATAACACTCTTTCAAGATGCTATTACAGACTAATTATTAGGATAAGATTGCTGCTTAGCTGAATTATTTCTTAGGAAGTATATATTTTAGTCTCCTATAACTTTCTTGGTTTGTCATCTATAAACTTCACAGAGCACTTCTGCTTCTTAGTAATTACTGAATGAATACCTGACATGACGACAAAGTCCACTCGATTTATATTTTTATACTAATTATAGTACATTGTATTTTTATACTAGCTCACACCACTTCTTAATGAATAAACAAAACTCATCTGCCCCTTAATCACAGCCTGATAAGGGTAAGTGAACACTCAGGTGTAACCGATGCTGTGCAATAAAAAGATCTGAGCAATTGAGTTTCAGCTTTAAGCAGCTGAGAAGGCTGCCAAAAAGAGGACATGAACTTCCTGTACAAATACCTCACTTGATTTAAAAAGCTGTTTTGATTATCTCTTGTACAGAAGAGAGAAGAACCTTACCTCCAGTACTTGTTGCCAACAAAGAAATAGGTTCTCTTGGTACTTTGGTCATGAACGGCTGCATCGATTTTCCCGATGCTGCTGGGGAAGCCCAGGTTCTGGATGGGCTTGGGGAACCCTGGCTCTATTCTGTAGCCACTGACAGCCCAGTACTGGCCATCTGCAGGAAAACAGAAAAAGTTGTGAGGATTCTTGAGGAGTCTGATCTTCTTTTTGCCAAAGCCCCAGAGCTTTCTGTGTAGTAAATGCCAAAAACTGCACAGATGTCCAGCTGAGAACATTACCCAATTAGGACGCACAGAAGTCTGAATATCTCACAGCTGATGGATTTTCTATTTTTTATAGTCATTAAGAGTATTATACACTCAATAATTAAAAGCCTATATTTTAGGTGTGTTTCATGTAATGTAGGAATTAATTTTGTCTCAGGTATGGCCTTTGCTGTCACTGACCAAAGGAAGTCTATGTAGGACCATTGTGAAGCAGCATTAGTTACTGACAGTAACATAATTTACAAAATTTAAATGGGTTTAAATATTAAGAATATCCTCTATTAGTGGTAGCACTAGTGTTAGAGTTAATATGAATATTAGCATAATATACCTTCTATTATGATTAAATAACATTTAGTAGTATTGCTATAACTTCACATATGCATTAAAAAATGATGAAAATGTAAGAGAACTACCTTTGAAAAATAGCACTCGGTCCTTCTTGTCAACCTCATACGCAGCATCAAAGCCAGCTATCAGTGATGGCCAGAAGGAGAAGATGGTGTCATGTTCAATTTCTGAGAAATATGGACTTTTGCGCCAGACAAAGCTGTTAGAAACAAAACCAGCAGTGCTTCATTGTCTGTCATCTCATTAGGAGATCAAGGGCCCATATATGTACTTGAAATCCTACTGTGTGGGTTCTGGAACCAGTGTTCCCTATGAGGCAGAGATACCACCCCTTTTGGGATGCAGTCCTTCACTCTGCTCCCTCACAGACCTGTGCCCTTTGCTGCAGGCTGCTCTGAGGTCACAGAATAGTTGAGGTTGGAAGGGACATCTGAAGCTCATCTTGTCCAACTCCTGGCTTAGCCATCCCCTACAGCTGATGGCCCTGTGGACTTCTGCATTTGCACCATAATGGTTCGTCCAGGACACCTTAGGATATCTGTGGCAGTGCTGACAATTGCAGCTTTCTCTTCATCATGACCCATGTAGTTGGCACAGCTCATTTCAATTTGGTTGCAAAGGTTAAATAAAAATTCTTGAGAAACACATTAAAACCCAGGTTAAGAAAGAATTGCTCTTTCCCCCTCCTCCTTGAAAACTATTACGCTACAATACTTCATATGTTTTAGAAGGAAAATCAGACCCACATCATCAAAGGAAGCTTGTTCAATCAAAACACAACTACTAAGCCAAGAAGGGGGTGAAGCCCTGACCCTGCTGTTTGCTCTCACCAGGGTGGATGTGCCCAGCCAGCAACTCTCTACAGAGAGTGCCAGAGCGTGCCCAAAACAAGGCCACCATGCAACAGCAGACACTCTCTGTAGACAACACTGGTCTAGTGCAGAATCCTAGGTCAGAGTGGCACTAAAAATCACCAGAGACGTTTTCCACAGCTCCCTGGCCCACACACAGGATGGTATGATGAAGACAGTACTGCATGTAAAGCAGCTGCAGGCTGAGGAGTGACACTGGAATTATTCAGCCTTGCACAATTTTAATGAACATGGACAGTGATGTATGATGGATTAAAGCATTGTACTCATTAGTAAACCATGTTACTCACCCAGCACAGGTGGGCTAGCAAAATTTTTCAAAGCTGCCTTAACACTTACAGAAAAAATATTTTCCTTTATAACCAAGGGAGGATAAATTCCTTGAACTGAACTTTGTGCTTTGCCTTTGTGAGTCTCACAAAAAGATGCTGCTGGAAATAAAAGCACTTACCCATCCTTGAAGAACAGTGTTTCTCCACGGAGAGTCGTGACAGCGTCAAAAGTCAGATGAGGGTCACAGTCGTCTGGTCTTTGGGGTGGCTTGGATGGTGTCATTTCTGTTGGTTCTTCCCTGGGAGACATTGGAGTTGGTGCATCTGCAGGTACCATTTCAGTTGGTTCTTGTGGGGGTAAAGCTTCTGTAGGAAGTGCAGGAGATTCTTTGGGGGGTCCTTTGGAAAATAAATAAGAGTGGAATTGGAAGGTGGATCAGAGCAGTTCATGTCACAGCATTTCAGGCAGTACTGTGTGAAGCCAAGTGTATATGCAGCTGTGCACATACAAAACCACCCTTCTGTGGAAGATAAGAGAGTTTCATGCTACAGATGTGGGCTGTTCCTCTGGTATCACTGGGGAAAGGCTCTTGGACCTTTTGACTAACTGGAATAAATACAGTCTACGGATTCCATTTTGCAGTGTAGACTGTTAACCACAAAAACCCCAAGAGATTTGCCCAAAAATAATATCAGGAAATAAAACCTTAGTGTTTTTTTTGTAGTGGGAAGTTCAGTACATTTTATCTGGTGGGTAAAATTAATTATAAATTGTTATCCATCATTCACCAGAAAATGATGCATCTTGCTTACCATAGAGGGCTTGAATGCCATCAATGTCATCCTGATGAAGTTGGTAGTTCCTCGTATCTGTGGCCATATATACAGGATACATCAAGGCACCAAAAACGTTGGAATGACTGAGACCTAGTGAGTGGCCCAGCTCATGAGCAGCAACAAGAAATAAGTTGTATCCTGCAAAAGATCCACACAAAGAACAACCACAAAATAAATTTTTTGCTTAACAGCAGGATACAGGCATTATTCTCTCAGGTGAGGTATATCATTCACAGTCTTAAAAAAACGCCCAAGTAAGAGCTCTCTGGCCTCCTGGAGAAGAAATGAGTTTTGAATCATAGACATTGATTTCTCACTGGAAAACCACTCTGGGAACAGTTTTTGCCCATATTGCAGAAATTTTCCAACAAAGAATCAAGGTTTCTTTACTATTAATAACAATTGAAAAGCAGTTGAGAAGGTCTTAGACATCTGATCAGATTTTGGGAATAGTAAATGACATGGAATTTGCCTGGTAACTACCTCACAAAACCAGTAACGTGTAACATAATCCCTGGACATTGCTGGAAACCAGAATAATTCCCTGCTATATTTAATTTTATTCACCAATTAAAGATGTTTTTTCCTTTCTAGAAGTTAAAGATGAGCATGACTTTAAATCAGAAAAAAACCCAAACTGAAGCAAACAAATGTGAGAGGTTATGTTGTTACTTTTAAGGTCGTTATCTGAGGGTGAAAATTCCCTGTCTTTTGAAGTCATGATTACCCAACATTGCTATTCCACGCTAGCTTAATTTCCTTCACTGGAGCTGTAACTGCAGTTTGCA